GCCATGGGCATTTAAGGAGAGTACCCCTTATGATAGGATCACCCTCCTTACACAAGGCAAAGCAACAAAAGCTTTGAAGAATGAAACCAGAAGTTAGTCTCAAAATTAAAAAAGAAGTCCAAAAGCAGCTTGATGTTAACTTTATCAAACCAATCAAGTATTCGAAATGGCTGGCGAATGTGGTGGTAGTGCGCAAAAAAGATGGAAGGGTCAGAGTGTGCATTGATTTTAGGGATTTAAATTCAGCATCACCGAAAGACTATTTTCCATTACCCCACATTGATGTTCTAGTTGATAACACTGCCGAACACGCCATGTTCTCATTCATGGATGGTGTAGGGAATATTTCAAGCATTACCCCAAACGTGAACCCCACTGTGATCATACACTAAAGCATGGTGGCGTCTAAAGGGAAGGAAGCTAGAGCAAAAGAGTCGCCAACAAGTTTTAGGAACTTGTAAACCGTTCACAGGGTGAAGGTTACACCCCTTAACGATCCAGGAGATTGTCAACTCCAATAGGTCTGGAACCATGAATGGTAGTACGGGGATGAAGGTACAAATCCAACCTAAAAGAAATTGAACCTGCCCTAATAATAGGCCTCTACTTTATTCTGATCGTATTCATGTGCGCTTTCTGACTAACATGCAATCAATAGGATTAACCCTAAACCTGTTTATCTATGTCGGTTGAATATTAATGCAAAAATAAATCTATTATTTGCGATCACTTAAATTATAATCAAATTAACCCTAAACAAGATTATTAATTATCTTATATAAGCGTGATTACAAGTACAAATTCCCTTTAAACATGCATAAAAGGTGTGATCAAGCAATAAAAATAATATATATCAAGCAACATGATATTAATCATAATAATAATCATCATCATAATCATGTTAAAGCAGAATAATAGCAAGTTCCTAGGCATGATACTAACAAGATTAATAACAAACCCTAGCATGTCACTAAACAATAAAGATCAAATATATAGCCCTAGCATGATACTATTAGGAAAGACAATAAAAGGCATCATAGAAATCATAATTGACATTATATTCTTTACCCTAAACATGATACTAGGAACTTATTGTTGTCACCCTAAACATCAAATTAAGAAAAACATCCTAACATGATACTAGGAATAAACATAACAACCTAAACATGATCTTTATATCATAATATCAATAAATTAATTAAAGCACTTACTTGGATGCCTCGTACCTCTTTCTAATAACAAAATACACACGTTAATAACTTCAAGGAAAATAATAATCAAATAAATAAATTAAATAATTGAAAGAGAGCTTAAGAAATTTTAGACTAGATTTGGGACCAAACCCTCAGAAATCAAACCTTTCACGTCAAGGGCGAAGGTAACTTCGAACTTGGCTAGGTGTGTCTATATCTTGTGAATGCAGAATTTTGTTTGTAAAAAGTTGTTTAAGAAAGAGAGAGAGAAAGAGTAATCAAGAGATTCTTGATAAGAGTTGGTGATAGAGAGAATTGATGAGAATTGATTAGAAGAATTGATGATCCAAAACAGGAGTTTTAGGAGGCTATTTATAGAGAAAATCAGCCAGATATGATAGAGTTTCGAAAAGAATAAAACACGACCGCAGCGCCAAACACGCGCCTGTCGCCAGACGCTGAACTGCAGTGCCAAACGATGGACTGTAGCGCCAAACGCTAGGTCTGGCGCCAGACACCATGTCTTCCGCCACACGCTAGGCCTGGCGTCCGGCGCTGCAAGACAGTTTTTACGGATTTTAATTTTATTATATCTTTTGATCCAGAAGTCCAAATAAGTCATATAATATGTCATTGGAAAGCTCTTGAAGTCTACTTTCCAACCCAATTAGAATCTAATTAAAGTCTTTTGTAGATAAAAAGATATGGCTGAAATAGTGGAAGGGTGTCAGTTTTGGATAGAGTTTCATATCTCATTCATATCTTTTTCGTTATAGCTCGGATTTAATATTATAATATATCATTGGAAAGATAATTTCAAGATCTATCCAACTATATAAAATTTGGATAAATATTATGAGACACAAAAAATAATATATGAATATATTCCACTTTGTATAAAACAAGGTTTCTCAAAAGGAGTAGTTTTATTCAATTTCAAACTTTTTGAAACATAATTATCAATCCTAACTCCATTAGGATTTAAGAGAACCTTCTAGAATATTCTAGAAGACTATAATCAATCCTAATAGCTTTAGGAATGATAATTAATAATAGACCCTCCTCTAGATCATTGGGCCGTAGGTAAAAATCCGGTTTGAGCCCAGTTTAGTATTTTGGCCATAACTTTCTCATTATTCATCGGAATTGGGCTTATAATATATCGTTGGAAAGGTATTTTCAAGCCCCATCCAACTACACCATTATTGGACCCTTTTCATGGACCAAAATAAACTTGAATACACGTTTTTCATAAATAAGGTAAGAAAATAAATATTTTCAAAAACAGAAAGAAGAGATATTTTAATAAAAACATCCTCATCACTAGACTTTTCATACTTTCACTTTGTTCGATAATCAAATGACATGAAAGGTATTCATCACTGGGTTTGGTTTTGGGGAGACACATTTGGGTGTCTACAGATGGATTCTCATGGTACAATCAGATACTCATGTCAGAAGAGGACATGTCAAAAATTTCTTTTATTACCCCATGGGGAACTGACAGGTTAAAGTCGTATCCCCTAATCAAAAATAAATACCTAAGTCCTCTAACTAAAGTAGATAGTGAAGTAGGGTCGAACTCCACAGGGAAACAAGTCTTTTTACTCCTAATTAATTATTATAATCTAAATTATCTAAGTAACCAATATTTTTGGGAATAAAGTCTATACTACGAAGAATAAGTTTAGGGAGAGAAACAATAATAAGAAGGCCTAGGGTACAGGTTCACCAATAATTAATATTCCGGGATAAAACATAATTACTAATAATCAACATTGCACAAATAACATGATCAACAGGCTCTCGTAATTTAGTAATCAACTTAGATCTAACAGGCTCTCGCAATTTACTAGATCTAACTTCCTATTAAAAATAGCCTTTAATATTAAATTAACATCTGCTCGATTCATCAATTCAATATTGCTAAACATTCACAATCAAATTACATCTACTCGATTCATAATCTAATTGCAAAGAATTAAAACAATTCAATAAGAAATTATCATGCAACACCAATAATCAATAATAACAAATTATCCCTTCATATTAATTATGGATCCCCATAAACCCTAGAATGAAACTACTCAGACATAATCATAACTAAACTAATCAAATAAATAAAACAAAACATAATCAAATAAGTAAATGAAATAGCTGAAATTAAAGGAGAAGAAATTGTTACCAAAGGAAATCTAAATTAATGGAAGTAATTAAGAACAAGAGTTGAGAGAGAAATATCCTAAGTAGAGAGAGAAAATCTAAAAAATAAGGTAAACCAAAATTACGTACATAATTCGTACTTAAACCTCCTCAAAACAAAAATTAAAACTAAACTAATCAGGTCTGAGAAAAACACGCGCCCGATCGAGCTAGAGGCCGCCCGATCGGGCGCGCCTTTTTCCTTGCGCTTCTTCTCAGCAGCGTCGCCCGATCGTGCTAGATGCTCGCACGATCGGTCGCGCATTAGGCCACGCACCAGCACCAAATGCATGTCGCGCCCGATCGTGCTAGCTTGCCCAATCGGGCCCTTGCTTCTCTTCGAGGCTTGGACTTCGATTGGGCTTGATTCCTCGGCCCAATCCGGATTTCCTCTTCGGGTCTTGAATACTCGGTCCAAATACCTCGATATCCCGATTACCGAGCCCTTAATCACCGACTCGATGACTCTAACCTGCCTTGGGCTTCAAAGATGGTCGTGCTCTTCTAATTTCTGTAGTCGCTCCATGAAAAACCCGAGAAAATGCTCCAAAGGTGTAATTTCCTACAAAACTCAACAAAGACTACGAAAACACTAGAAAACACCAATTAGCAATAAAAGTGGCTCGAAAGAGCCAAAAACACTACTAATTATGACCAAGGGACGGGGGTAAATTACTGTATAAAATGGACATATCAAGAACCTTTTGTTATTGAGAAATGCCCTTCAGATTAAAGAATGCTGAGGCAACCAATCAACAGGTTGCAACGACGATTTTACATGATCTCATCCATGATATTGTGGAGGTGTATGTTGATGACATGATTGTCAAAAGTCATGATCGTGAGACACACCTTGATTCTTTAAAATCATTCTTCAACAGAATTAGGAAATACAATCTGAGATTGAATCCTCAAAAATGTGTATTTGGGGTAACTTCGGGAAAGCTTCTGGGCTTCGTTGTAAGTCAAGACGGAATCAAAGCCGACTATGACAAGGTAAAGGCCATACAAGAGCTTCCTCCACCAAGAACGTAAAAGGAGCTTGCATTGCCCTTATTTACGCAACAAAGAACCTTTGACATTATTTGCAATCACATTCAACTTATCTGGTTTCGAGATTAGATCCAATCAAGTACATTTTTGAGAAACCAATCTTGAGTGAAAGAATAGCAAGATGGCATGCGATATTGTCAGAATTTGACATTTAGTGTGTGAATCAAAAGTCTGTTAAAGGGAGGGCTATATCTGAAGCTTTGGCTGATGGACCCATATCGGGTGATGAATTTAATGATGATTTTCCAGATGAACATAATTTCTGTCTTAATACATCACAATGGAAGATGTATTTCGACGGAGCCTCTAACAGGAGGGGGAATGGTGCAGAAGTATTATTGATTGATCCTCATGGTGTACATGTTCCTTTCGCTGTGAAGCTTAGTTTCCCAACAACGAATAACACGGCTGAATATGAAGCTTGTATCTATGAAATCAAAGCAGCATTAGCAGCTGCTGCAAAAAATCTCACGGTAATATGGTGATTCTTATCTTATAATTTCCTAGACTATTGGAGCTTGGAAAGTTCGGGATGAAAGGTTACAAGTGTACATGGAGTATCTTCAACAATTTATCCCATTCTTTGAAGAAATAGAGTTTAAACACCTTCCCCGCAAGCAAAACAGCTTCACCGATGCTTTGGCAAATCTTGCGGTAAATTTGACTTGGGATGATGATGTAAAGGTACAGTCAGTAACGATTGTAGAAAAACAAATTCCAATGGTTAATTTTGAACCAACAATTGCTCTACTAACCCAAGAAGATAGCGAGGATGCTTGGTATACTGATATTAAGAAGTATCTGATCGGTGGAGAATATCCTGAAGGGAGTCACAAGAAGGATCAGTTGGCTATTCGAAGGCTAGCTTCTCATTTTATAAAATTAAAAGGTTTGTTGTATCATAAAAGTGAGGATGGAAACTTGCAATTATGCATCGGTGGGGAACAGACACAAAGGATCATGGAAGAAGTACATGGGGATAATGTAGGCCTCATATGAATGGACGAATCGAGCAGGGTATTATTGGACCACCTTGGAAAGTGATTGCATCCATTTTTTACGAACATGCAAAAAATGTCAGCTATATGCAAACCTTAATCATATGCCGCCAGTTAGCTTGAATAATTTTTCTTCGCCATGGCCCTTTTCCAGCTGGGGCCTAGACATCATTGGGAAATACATCCGAAAGCTTCGAATGGGAATCAATATATATTGGTTGTTGTTGATTATTTTTTGAAATGGGTGGAGGCATCATCATATTCAAAACTAGGGGCAAAACAAGTTTCAAAATTTGTGATCAATAACATTATATGTCGGTATGGGGTACCTTTTGAAATTATCTCTAACAATGGTTCACAATTTGAAGGCCATCTTAAAGAAACCCTTAAGAAGTACAATCAGGCATCACCAATCTTCGCCATATTGTCCTCAAACCAACGAAGTTGTTAAAGCAGCTAACAAAACCATCAAGAGGATAATCGCCAAGATGACAGATAGGGCTAGAGAATGGCCTGATAAACTTCCCTATGCACTATGGGGATATAAAATTTCCATTCGAACACCAACTAGGACTACTCCATATTCTTTGGTATATGGAATGGATCCGCTTCTTCCAATCGAAACAGAGATTCAATCGCTTCACGTAATGAATGAAAGAGAGATATTTGAAGAGAAATGGTTTAAAGAAAGATATGATGAGCTTTCTTTAGCAAGTGAATGAAGGTTATAGGCCCTTCACAACATTCAAATTTATCAAAGACGCATTGCCCGGGCTTTTAATAAAAAGGTCAGGGAAAGGAATATACAAGAAGGAGATTTGGTACTTAAGGAAAATCGAGCACCGATTCATGATCCACGTGGAAAGTTCAAGCCAAACTGGTCTAGTCCTTTCCTGGTCAAACATCTTACACCAGCAGGAGCAGTAAAATTGATGGATCTTGATGGAAATGAGTTTGTTCATTTCACCAACCTTGATCAGTTGAAAAATTATTATGCTTGATTGGTACAGTGTTGTATTTGTGAGATTCGCAAAAAAAAAAAAAAAAAAAAAAAAAAAAACTGTGAATCTTCTACTAGCTTTAAATAGGTATATGTGTAACATGTTAAAGTTTAGATTTCATTCATGTTTGCATTGCATGCTTAAGGGTCGTGTAGAAATATTCATTATTATTAAAAGATCGTGATCAAGTCAATACTTAACAAAATATGATTACAACAAACAAACAGTTTTTTTTTATTTATTCAAACATAACACAAACTCTCTCGCTTTTTGGCGAGGTTACAACTTTTTTTAAAAAAAAACACGAAAACAGCAACCACATACACCATACCCGAAAAACCAATGCCTTTGGAAATGATTTCTTCTTTTGGAATTGAAAATGCACAAACAAGGGAAACACAAGTACAAGTATTGAAATACAATAAGGAAATCCTTCCAAGGATTTATTTAAGCATCACCCTTGAGGTCTTCCAACAACCATGTTGTGTAGGACACGGTTGGAACATTATCCTCAAGAACTGAAAATGCTGGGAGCATTCGTGCAAATTGCCATACATGAGATGATTCCCTAAGAGCTTCCACATTACCAATTTCATAGGTGGTACAAGGTACCACTGGGAGCTCATGGAGCTCTAGGAGTCGTTGGAGTTGGCCCGCTTGTCTCAAGCATCTCCAAGGAAGATAGAAGGTGACTCGACACAATCCTGGAAGTTGGACACCTCTGCGCCAACTAGTGCTAATTGTTATGGAATCTATGTTGAGAAATGAAATGATCCATTCCACATCAGCTGCGGCAAAGAGGTCTGTCCATGCAACATGGTTGCAACATTGACGGAATATAGGAAAAAAACCTCTCACCCGAATATGTCGGGTTTGGTAAGAAATTCGAATAGGTGGTCTAGACAGCTTAATTTTCTCACATAACTAGAGTTGAAGCACGATTGGACATCCTTTGAAAAAACCCCCTGGATTTTGTTTTAGATTGTCAAGCCCCATCATAAGTTCCCCTAGGATAAGAGGCCCTAAATGGTTCCCTGACTCAATCTGTGACAACAAAGAAAGGCAGTGAACATGACAGGAAAATAATGATTCCTTGAGTAAAACAAGGCGGAGCAATAAAAGGATGCAAGCTCTTTCTTGGCACTTTTGGAAATTTTCATTGTTCGCAAATTCCCAATGAGGTAAAGAGAAAGTTTTAAGGAAATTCTCTAACATTAAAATGTCAAGTAGGAGATAATTGATTTCCATATTTAATGGTATACCTAAAAAATCCCTCGTGACCGCATCAGTTGCCCTTGGGTCAGCAGGTTTAATCACACAGCCTCGTTTTGAAGACCTAATAAACCCTTTGCTTCTTCCGGAAGGGGGGTCATTTCCGTCTCTCCAAAGCGAAAAACATGGCGTTCTTCATCCCAAAATTCAACAGCAGCATGAATCATATCATACCGAGGTTGGATAGATAGGAGAGGGGTGATGGTTCTGGTAAAGACACTTGTATAAGGGGAAAGACGAGGTGAAGAAATGTTTTCGACCACCCCTTTTAGTTGGAGCTTTCTAACTCCGCTGATTTCATTGATTTCTTGAAACATTGCATTCATTTTTTTCTTAGAAAAATTAAGGAGAGAAGAAATAAGACTTAAGAAGCTTGAAAGGAGAAGGAGGGAATTGATTTAGTGTAGAAAGAATGAGTATCACCTCCTTTTTATAGGGGTGGTGGTGATAATGTGCCAGGAAGAAAAGGCCGAAGGAGTTTACTTTTCCGAAAACTCAGTACAAACCACCTGATGTTCTTACATCCGAAATCCATAAATTATGTTCCTTCAAGAATGATTATTATCTTCCCTAAAGCTCGTGGAAATTGAAAGTTTGATCTTTTAAACATATGTCTAAATTAAACTAGTGCAAGGTTCAGCCAGTTTTTCAACTACACCCAAGCCAACATTTGTGTTGCAATTGAGTGAGAATTTCACTCTATTTTTCAGCCAGTTTTTCAACTGCACCCAAGCCAACATTTGTGTTGCAATTGAGTGAGAATTTCACTCTATTTTTCAGCCAGTTTTTCAACTGCACCTAAGCCAACATTTGTGTTGCAATTGAGTGGGAATTTCACTCTATTATTCAGCTAGTTTTTCAACTGCACCCAAGCCGACACTTGTGTTGCAATTGAGTGAGAATTTCACTTAATTTTTCAGCCAGTTTTTTAACTACACCAAAGCCAATGTTTAAATGAAAATTAGTTGGTATTTTCCTTCCTTTTTCAGAATCATACATCAAAGTTTCGTGTCTTTTCTCAAACATTGATTATCGTTTTATTTAAACTCAATCAATGTGGGGCAATCTGTAGGCACTAAATTTTGATCCTACTTTTGTAATTGTCACTATTAATTATCTTTTATTATTATGTTATCGTTTTTTGCAAATAATCATTATTATTATTTTGCTAAATATTTTTATAAACTTAATGACGAAGAAAACGAGTAATATTAATGATTTTTATTTATAATTTCCAAAATACATGTTACAATTTGTACTTCTAAACTACTAAATTACAAAATCTTGAAGTACAGCTAACACTACATGTATTTTTACCCTGCACCACCGAAGTAATTTTCGGGCTTTACTTGAAGATTAACAAGTAAATTAATACAGCCATTAGGAGGACCACTAGCCCCACAATGTACATGAAGTACGCTCTTATCATCTTCATGTCTTTTGCAAAGGTGAAGACAGGCTGATGTTCCTGGTTTTCTTGAAACATGTTTTTTTAGTTTTTTCGGGTAAGGAGGAAGATGGAAGAAGATAAGAATTAAGTGGTGAGTGGAGATTTTTGATAAGGGTAATTTCTTTTTATAGTAAAAAGTAGGTATTTTAGACCGTATTTCTATACGTATATGTATAATAATCGTATAGTATAAAGTATAATATTTTTTGTCTGGCTAGGGGAGTATGTCATTTTCTCTATAAACAGGCATTATTTATTCCTTTAGAGTATAGTAATTATATTAGTATGTTCACTTAGATTGTTAGAGTATTTTATATTATTTTATTTTATCTAGTGCATTTTGCAATTTGTGCAATACCCTATTATATGACCAGTTTACCTATAAAGTCCACAACTCTAAAGACTCATGCCCAACCAATATAGGGAAGTGACAAACATTCCCACACCTAAATGAGTACTACATGTTGTAGTGCTAAAGGAACCTCCTTTTATATATACTTGTTAAAATGTCATTGTCATTTTATTCCACAGTTAATACTTGTTCCGATAAATACAAGTTCGGACCAAACCCGTTGATATTTAAAGAGGGGAATACGTATGGATAAAAATGTATTTTTTTTATCAAGAATGTGTGATTGTTTTGTATAATTATTATGTTGAATAATAGGTGAATAGTGTAGGGCTGGCAAAAGCTGACCCGACCCGACAACCCGACCCGAACCCAACCCGAAATAAATGGGTTTTGAAAGAGATTTTCAACCCGTTTATGTAATTGGGTCAACCCGAACCCGACCTGAAGTTAAATGGGTCGGGTACAGGTTGGAAATCCCAACCCGAAACCAGCCCGCCTAAACCCATTTAATTAATTGGGTTGGTTTCAGGTCGGGTCAACCCGAACCTAACCCACCTAAACCTGTTAACCAGCCCTAATTTTAGTTATTTACACCCTAACTTTTTAATATGGGCTAAGCCCAAATATCTAACCACAAAAATGAAAAACCCTAAGCTTTTTTCTTTATTCACGCCGCTTCCCCAATTCCCCTCTTTCACTCATTCTCTCTCCTCTCTCTCTCTCTCTCTTTCATCTTTCTTCTCTCTTGTTTTCATATTTTTTTTCCATGAAAATTGTTTATTAAAGCTTGTGAATCTTCATCTCAACATTGTCAAAGGTAATTTGCTTGCTAATTAATTCTCTTTACTTAAATGTTCTGTTTTTTATGCATTTTAGTTCTTCAATTTCATCTCAACATTAGTTTGTTTTTATGTGTTTACTTGTTTGCGATTTAATTTCTTCGATTAACTTTTTTAGTCTGATTTAAGCTCGTTTGTTATGAGTGTGTTTTGTGCAAGCGGTTTTTTTCACCATCTGATTATGAGTGAGATTACTTGTTTTTACAACTGTTTTTTATGAGTTTATGAGTGAGATTAAGTGATTTTGTTTGATCTTTTCATCTGATTATATGATGCTAAGTCTGCATTTGGCATTTAGTATTTTGATAAAGTTAGCCTAATTATTTATCTAATTAACTAATTTATTCTTAATTAACAGATGGTTGATACTTGATTGTCCTCTTCCTCCATAACCCGTTGAACTTGCTGATTATGAAGAATCAGATGATGAAGTTACTAATTGGCAAATATTGAATTTTTGTTATATGTATTTTAGAACTCTTGGAACTTTTTAGTGTTGTATAATTGTACTATAAACTATGCAGCAAGTGGCTTTGAATTTGCATTTTACATTTTTTATGTTGTTCAATATTTCAGGTTAATTTTTTAAAAAGAATTATATTTTTATTTTTAAAAATTACAAGATTAGTTAAAAAGATTGTAGGTTAAAAAAAATAACAAGGTTAATCAATTTTTTTTTTAAAAATAAAAAAACAGGTTAAGACGGGTCGGGTTCAGGTCAACCCGCTTAAAATCAGGTCGGGTTCAGGTTGGGGGGTCCTGACCTGTTTATGTAAACAGGTCGACCTGAACCCGACCCGACCCGACCTGTTTACCAGCCCTAGAATAGTGTTGGCAGGGTGAGTATCCGGCGTTAAACTAGGATCCGTTTTCTCATTTCGATGAAGTATCAATATTGTAGCAGCATGGCTAAGGGTCCCATGGAGTATTATGATGAAAGAAAGCCATTTTTTTCTGCGTAAATCATGTCTAAGAATGTGGATACTGACTTTCTTTTGTAATTTGTTGTTTTCTTCTTGTTTTACTTTTTTTTTCTTATTTACTTTGTATAACTTGTTTATTTCAGTCTAATTTTTGTATCCTTTCGTCAATTTTGATGAACAATTGTCAATAGTGAAATAACGTTACCTTTTTTTTTATCCCCCCACGGTTAATATTGGATCCAATAGATATCAATTCAGATCAATGATCATATATCGATAGGAAGCGTGTATGTGGACAGGAGTAAAACAGGCTGATAATGGATGAATCAACGGTAGAACTTTATGCTTGTAGCAATTAGATAGGATACATATGCCTGAATCTACAGTGGTACTTTAAGCTTCTAGAAATTAGTTAGGATATGAATGCATGAATCCATAATGGTAATGCGACTGAGTAGCAGTTAGTTATGAGCTCATCATGATGATGAAGCCCTTTTCTCTTCGTTTCTTTAGTTTGCTTTGATCCAATTTTTGTATCTCTTGTCATCGTCAATTGTGAAATAATGCGACTATGATAAATATAAATTTGTGTTTTAGTAGATTAAGGAAAGATAAGAGTTCACCTTTTTTTTAAGGGTAATTCGGTTAAGGGAATATATTTTACTCTTGACTACCTTAAATTTATGTCGTATGAATTAATATTGTATGATTTTATATGGTGTATTTTCACTTTGACCACGTCAATTTTATGACTTTATATGATTTACTTTATTTTATACTTTTAGTAAGGGTCATTGTTTGTAATGCTCGTATGTATACGATTTTGTCATATGATTAGATGTTCCTGGGTAAATTTATATGTACTATCTAATAAGGGCAGGGGTTATTCTTCTTTTTCAATTTTTTATAAACTCTGAAATATTTTGTCCAACCCTATTAGTATGGTAACCTGATGTCTTTGTGTAACTTTCAGAGCTGATGTTTATTTTATAAGTGTTGTTTTAGTACCTTGGTGAGTATAATACTCACTAAATAAATTTAGGCGCTCTGTTATCGTATACCATGTGAGTATTATTTTGAGTTGTGACATGACTTGGTCATATATTTTCTTTTTTGTAATACCATGGCATTTTAGAACCATTTTATTATATGAATATTAGAGTTGATTTTATTACGGTTTTCTTTATTTTATCAGTTTAAGTGTTGTAAAACAGATTAAGTAGTTTGTTACATATAAAACGAAAGAATTTAATATCAAGATTCTCATTATTACTAAAATCTTGATATTTACCAAAATAATCCTTGAATTTTAATTTATTTACTTTTCTATTTACAAATTAACCCCTTTATTTTCCTATAAATACCCCCTAATTTTCAAGTTAAAAACACACCAAAATTTCCTACAATTTCTCTCTCTAAAAATTTCTCCTCTAATCTTTACTTAGTTAAATCTCTCTAATTTAGCTTTATTTTTTAAGTTATTAGCTTATTAAAAGCATCTTATAATTAAGTTAATATTGTTATTTTTATTTAAGTATTGTTATCATCTTTAATTCCTATAAAAACACAAAAGTATTTCAAGTTCAAGCATTATTTTTCTTTATTATCCTTGTTAAAAAAAATTAGTTTAATTGCTTAAGTATTCCTAGTCTATAAGTAAAACCAAAAAAAAAAAAAAGGTTTGTTTCTCAAGATTTAGCTTTATTTTTCAAGTTTATTTTCTCTAACCAAAAAAAGTTCTTTAGCTTTATTTTTTGCATTAATTTCCTTTAATATCTCAAAACTCCAAAAAAAAAAATTCACTTAGTCTCTTTTATTGCACTTTAATTAAGGAGTGATCATATTTTCATCCTTGATAAGTAAGAAGGGTTATCAAAAAAATTGCTACATCTAGCTCAAAATATTATCTTTGTTCCTTTCTTAATTTACTTAATTATTATTATTATGCTAACTAATGTGTTTGTTTTCATGTGATGTTACCAATAGGGGTAATGACGATATTAGGTGCTAAATTAGCCCTAAATCTTTCATTACTCCACATTAGAAAGCCAAGCCTATTGGTGAGGTGATAGGTTACAAAGAGAGGGGTTAATTGCATTTTACATTGCATCTCTTTTTAATGCATTTTAAAAATGAAAGGTTAATACATTCATATGACTGCCTAATGTATATTTTAAAGACTGATTTATTTCTTAAAGTGAGCTTAAAGGCCTAAGGAATCAAGAGTTTAAGCAAAGGTTGTTCAAGAGTAAAGAATTACTTACCACAACCTAAAGATGGCCCGTGAAACAACCCTTACAACCAGAATCAGTTTCATTTATTTAGCTCAAGTGATAGAACTTTTCAAGAGCTTTCCAACAATATCTCAATAAGTTTTTCGATTTTTCTATGACTTTTAATGATTTTTTAGGTTAAGCTATCAAAGAGATGAAATATGCACGTCTTTCTCTTAATTGCTTTTTAAAATTGTATTAATTTATTTTTAAGGAACTATTGGTGGTATGAAACCTATATTACACTATATATACTTCTTAACTTATGGAGTTTTAATTAAAATGTCTTTAATCTTATTTTTAAAATGCTTTAGAAATAAGAGTTTTAACAAGCTTTAATTCTAAGTATTATTTGAATAAACTTTAATCTTATTTTAAAGAAGACTTCAGAAATAAGAGCCTTTAATTCTAAATGTCGTTGTTTTAAAAAATCTTCAATCTTATTACATGATGTCTTAAGGACTTTAATTTTATTTCAAGATGACTTCAGAAATAAAACTTTTAACAAACATTGTTTTCTTTTATAATTTTGTGAACCTTTTTATTTCAAACCCTTTTGTGATGCAAGAATGAACCATAACTTTGCTTGTTTATTTCTAATAATTAATGATAGTTAATATAAGGTTATGGCCTCATTTCCAAACATGAGGTTAAGATTAATTATTTAGTTGTATAAGGTTGTAACAATTGTTCATCTCCATAAAAATAAGCTTATATCCCATTATAATTGCCCGATGGATTAATTGACAATCGAATATAGTTAATTGTTCCCTTTTATTTGGAAGGAAGGCCTTGACAGGTGTCGTATTTTATTTGGCCAATTCCATTAAGCCTAAACACATAACCCTTATAACCTTACAAAAATTACCTTTGAGTGAATTTGAAACCCAAAGTGAGATTATATAGTGAACCCTTATTGTTTCACTCCCAAAAATACCTTGATCCACTAAAAGTCGTCAATTGGGACGCATTTGTCAAATTGTCTTATTCAAAAGACATTTTTGGTGATCACTAATCGGGGTGATTTTCCTCAACCAAGGTGGTTCATTTTACTTTTATGAGTGAATCCGTCAAGATCACTAAAATCCCACTTACAAAAAATGATATTTATGTCAACAACCCAAATTAAAAACCCAATGGAATTGGTAATTTAAAACATGGCATCTGTCCAAACTATGAAGATTTTGATCTGTGAGTGAATCCAAAATCTCACTATGATTGGTACGTAGTGCAACTTTGGTGCTCAAACCTACCTTATATTTTTTTTTATGTGGTTTACATGTCTTAAAACTTGGTTTTTAACAACGCAATAGTAAGAGCTCGTTCCTTAGAACGGAAGGAAAGACGAGTTACAGACGTTCGATTCTCTTAACCTAAACCCCGAACCCTGTGCCTTATTTCTATTATGGAGTTAGTAGTTGATTTTTTTTTATACTTAAATTGACTGTTTTAAAATCCGACCTTATTCGGATAAAAATAAGGTGGCGACTCTAAGTTTTTTTTTTAATTATAAGTCTTATCAGACACTTAAGTGGAACCTTTTATAGACTAATATTTGTCAACTAAAAACCAGGTACCACATGGTCCACCTTAGAACACCCCCCAAAATCATCGTGAGAGCTGGTTTCAAGGTGGTAAGGTTATTTTCGAGGTGGTTGGAGGATATTCCGAGTTGGTCAAGGTAGATTAGTGCTTCGGGATGATGGTTTTTAGGATTAGAGGTATTGGTTTTGGGGTACGGTTAAAAGGTGGTTTAGTTGTGGTGGAGACGATTTCAAGCAAGTCGTGTTAGTTTTGGGAATGAAAGCGGCGGTTTTGGGAGTGTGTAGAGGTCGATCAATGGTGAAAATTCGATATAGGTAGTATTACAACATTTTACCTTTTCTTAGGTAGTTTTTTTTTTTATAACATTTTACCTTAATTAGGTAGTTTATTACAATTTTTTTTATTAGATAGTTTCTCACAAAATATCAATTTTATTAGGTAGTTTTTGACAAAAAAAACCCTAAAATTAAGGTTACTATTTTAAAGATTTGGGTCTCTATGTTCATTATACAATTGCGTACATATGGGCCTCATGTCCACAATAATATTAGTGTCAACCAGGTCCACACAAGTTTTTTCCTATATGAAAGAGGTGAGATATTTTGTTTTTTAACATAAATTTTGAACTACATTTTTAGTTTGTTTTTCCTTTTTTGTAAACTGGTTGGGTACGCAAGCAGATTCCTCCAGTGGATAATATAGACAATTAAATTTAGAGTTATATATACAATAACTAATAAGTTTTAATTTATAGCTATATTATAGGATAAATATACACTTAGTAAGACTTGCTGCTAATCGCATCAATATTGTTAAGGGTAAAAATACCCTAGACGTATAGACCAATCAGGTCGTAACACGTGTCACCCTAGGAGGGGCCCAAAATGGGCCAACCAGGATAAGACACGTGGCATAGCAATAGCGGCACTCATGGGCTCAATTCTCGAGACACGGACAACACAATTACCTAGGTTAAATGACCTAAGGAAGAGCTCTAACTCCCATGCCCTATAAATACGGACATTTATTACCTTTGGAGACAACTTTTACAACAACAATTATTGCATCAATCATTCAATACTATTCTCTTACAACAAAAAAATCACCTGATCTCGAGATCCGAGAAGATCTACTTCACTTTCTGTATTTTACTCAACTTCAAGATTTACTAACTTGATCATCATCGGAGGCAAAACCCCAAAACACCAGAGCTTCCATTTGTTGCAGGTATAAGCACCAGTAGAACTAGTCTTGGAGTTGTAACTCTTCCGCAGGACACATCAAGAAACCCCAAAACAAATACTATCACCAAATTTTTAAAAGGATCGGAATAAAAACATTTCAAATTTCATAATAATATAACTATAAACACCTAAAATTGTCTTCGACTGAAACCCAATAATAAGTAAAACCTTTCATCGCCATTTGGTTCGTGTAAAGTATTGAAAGAAAGGAACACTTGATTCGTGCTTAGAAACTCATGTCATTTATATTTTTATTTCATTTCATAAGCCATTCTAGCTATTTCAATAGCCCAAACACTTTTAGAAATGGTAACAAGGTTTCTCATAAGTTAGCACAACTTAACAAGACCTTTGTGTGGCTGCTTATGTGGATCGACGAGTCCCTAACGAAGCTATGAGTTTTGTAATGGTGACATTTTGCTATTGAATGATGAATAAGTTTCTTATGATTTCCCGTAAAAAAAGTAAAACTATTTAAAAAAATTTAATAATTAAGTACTTTTAAATTCTCAAAATATATTTTTATTAGTTTATAAAATACTGAAAAAATGCAGTAATAGTGTAATTGTGACTAAGAAGTTGAGTCAATGATTGACAGAGTTTGTAGAGTTTTTTGATGGGTTTCGACCCCTTATAATGGAGAAATGAGAAGGGGTGTATAAAATTTAAGGGGTTATAGAACTTAGGTCATGCATCCGGAGCACAATTCGTGCGTTAGATACGCAGTATTGTTGGGCCCGTATTATCACACGACCCATTGCATTTAGGGCATCAATCCAAGACCAATAAATCAGCAAGAATATGCAAAACGGCTTGATTGAAGTAAACAAGGAAAACAGCATCATACATATCAATTAAGGAGATACTTGCCAAAGATACACCTACAGAACAAGGAAGAAGATAAATCAAGAAGATCTTCCCCATTTCAAATATATTCTGAAGATATTTGTAAACCCTAGAGATCCCTAGGTATAAATAAGCATAATTAGACATTTTTAGCATTCATGTACACACGCATACACCTAAATATAATAAAATTACTCTACTTTGTCTACGGAACTGTGTCTCTACTGAACAAGGAGGCCTGTCTCTACTCAGTATTGTATCTCTAAACTCATCTTCTTTATATAATCGAATATTTACTGCCTACTTATTGATTACTTGTTGATTCATTATCGTTCTTAGTTATTTTATATGCTATTGGTAGAATGATTGTTATTACCCCTCAAACCTAGCAAATTCTTAAACGTCCTTATTAAGATTTGCCCCTAAACAATTTGGCGCCCACCGTGGGGCTGATAATCAATTAACCTACCAATCCGCTAAAAACCAAGACAAACACCATGACTGGACACCAAGTACCCTTTACCATAGCTGAAATCAATGAGGGAATGAATGCATTCCGTCAAACCTTAGACCAGCAAAAAAGCCAGATTGAAACACTGTTGGCCCAAAAGATTCAAACCGAAGCCAAACTCACCAGTCTCACCAAACAAAATGAAGCCCTCCGTAGCCAAATACAACAGTTGCTTCTAAAACCGTTAACACCAGAAAGAACACCGAAAGTATAGCCATGCAGCTTGATATGTCAGGAACTTTTCACACCCCTAACGGGGAAAAAGGATCTAACACTAGGGAAACAGCCTTGGATCTAGACTCTTTGGATGCAGGAACTCACAGGAAGAGCAGCCAGGAAGGACCCGAGGAAGGAAAGATAGAGAAGGTGGTCAAAGAGTACCTCAAAGCAATTGAGGCCAAGATCGCCAAGATTCCTGGAATGCCAAAGCCCATGGAGGAAGAGGCGCCAGATGGCTATATAGAGTCTCCTTTCTCAGAAGAGATCCCCATGGTAGAGGTGCCAAAGAGGTTCAACACACCCAAAATGGCTATGTACGACGGAACAACAGACCCAGATGAGCACGTGTCCCTCTACAAGCAGAAGATGATGACAAGCTCAATCCCTAGAGACATCAGAGAGGCTATCATGTGCAAAGGCTTTGGAGCCACATTATCAGGTCCAGCTCTAACTTGGTTCATTAATTTAGATAATGGGACAATCCGATCTTTTGCAGGAATGGTAAACCTATTCAAGATCCAGTTCGCCAGCAGCAGGAAAATAGAGAAGCAGTCTTCAGATCTATACCGTGTTGTGCAGAGACACGGTGAATCCTTGAGGGATTACCTCAACAGGTTCAACAAGGAAAAGATTGGGATACACAAGTGTGACGCTCCCACAACAATTGAAGCATTCAGAAGAGGGTTGCTAGACCATAGTGAGCTCTACAAGGAGTTGACCAAGTATCCCTGTACAACCTTTGAAGATGTGCAAGCTAAGGCTATGGCTCAAGTCAGATTTGAGGAAGACGCGTATGCAAGAAAGACTCCAGAGCTCGGAAAGGATGAAGACCGTCAACCAAGAAGGAGCAACAATTTTCCTAGAAGAGATCATCGATTCAAGTCGTATCAGCGTTCACGCTTCGATGAGGGATCAGTCAATGTTGTCGAAGAAGAATTTTCTGACTGGAGGGAGGATCCTGAACTTCCACCTAAGCTACATGAGTACTGCTTCAATGTTAATCCTACAGGAGTAATAACGACCCTGAATAAGATGGGAGATACTGTGCAATGGCCCAGAAGGAGTGATAGGCCTGGAGAAAAGAAAGATCCCTCCAGATGGTGTGATTTCCATTCAGATATCGGTCACACTACTGATGAATGTGTCGCGCTCAGAAAGGAAGTCGCACACTTGCTGAAGAAAAGCTACCTCAAAGAGCTCCAGTCAAATAGATCTAAAGCCTCGGGGAAGGAGAGAGATTCTAAGCAAGGAGGTCCTCCTCCTCCGCCTCCAATTGTCAAAACCATCTGCTTCATATCAGGAGGGTCAAAAGTATGCGGTTTAGCATATTCAGCAGCAAAGCGACATGCAAAGGAAAGTAACAAGGATCAACCAGACAAGAGGGAGAAATCCAAGATAGACATCCCCATCATGTTTGAAGAGAGCGATGCAGTAGAAGGCCATCATGACGGTCTGGTGATTTCACTCCCAGTGGGAAACTGCATGATCAAACGAATCCTAGTTGACAATGGAAGCTCTGCAAATATCATCATGCTCGACACCCTGAAACATATGAACATAGATGAGAAGAACATCGTCAACAAGTCAACAATGTTAGTGGGATTCAGTGGGGAAACCAAAAAGACAAGTGGAGAGATTACATTGGTAACATACGCGAAAGGGATCAACCTACAGGTCAAGTTCCTAGTGATTGATACTCTGTCTTCGTACAATATGATTTTAGGCAGACCTTGGATACATGAGATGAAAGCCATCCCTTCTACGTACCATCAAGTCATTAAGTTCCCTACTAGGTGGGGTATTCAAGAAATCAGAGGAGATCCTAGGGAAGCTAAAGAGTGTTACAAGATAGCATTGAAAGCAACGTCTGCAGAAAAGAGTTCAGCATAGCAATCAGAGGGTCAGCTGGGCCAAGAAAATTTGAGCATATCAGAAGAACAAGAAGCTACAAAAGTCCAGTTGAACCCCAAACATCCAGATAAAAAAGTCAGAATAGGATCGGAGTTGAAGGCAGAACTCAGACAACAAGTTTACAACTTTCTAGACGAAGAGAAAGACGTATTCGCTTGGACCCATGAAGACATGAAAGGCATCTCTCCAGACGTAATTACTCACAAGTTGAACGTGGACCCAATGCATACACCAGTAAAACAGAAGAGAAGGAAATTTGCGCCAAAAAGGAACAAGATTATCAACGAGGAAATTCAAAACCTACTGAAGACTGGGAAGATCAGAGAGGTAAAGTACCCATAATGGCTCGCCAATGTAGTAGTAGTCAGGAAGAAGAACGGAAAATGGCGAATCTGCATAGACTTTACAGACATCAACAAGGCGTGCCCAAAAGATCCGTTCCCTTTACCTCATATTGATGCCATGGTAGACGCCACAGCAGGGCACGAGCTGCTATCCTTCATGGACGCTTACAGTGGTTACAACCAGATCCTCATGCACAAGGACGACCAGGAGAAAACCGCTTTCATTACCAGTCAAGGAATATACTGCTATAAGGTAATGCCTTTTGGATTGAAAAATGCAGGAGCAACATACCAGAGGTTGGTGAACAAGATGTTTGAAGAGCAGATTGGGAACACAATGGAAGTCTACATTGATGACATGGTAGTTAAGTCCAAAAAGGCAGAAGATCACGTCAAAGACCTGAGAGAAGCATTTTCCATCTTAAAGTAGTACGGCATGAAGTTAAACCCTACAAAATGCACATTTGGAGTACAGTCAGGAAGGTTCATAGGATACATGGTCACACAAAGAGGAATAGAAGCCAGCCCAGACCAAGTCAAAGCCATCCTAGACCTAGAGCGACCAAAATCCAAGAAGGATGTACAAAGCTTAACAGGGAAAATTGCAGCATTGAACAGGTTCATCTCAAAATCTTCAGACAAGAATAGAGCCTTTTACGAAATACTGAAGAAGAATAAGGAATTCAAGTGGGAACAAGAGCACGACGAAGCATTCCAGAAGCTGTAAGAATATTTAGCCAACCCATTGATTCTCTCCAAACCCAAAGAAGGGGAGCCGCTTCAGTTGTACCTCGCAGTGTCTGAAGGGACAGTCAGCGCAGTTCTCACAAGAGAGGAAAACAAAGAATAGTTCCCAATCTACTACGTAAGCGAAACCCTACTCAGTGCAGAAACGAGGTACGCATCATTAGAGAAAATCATTTTGGCCTTATACATTGCTTCAGTAAAGCTAGCACCCAACTGGGAAGGACCCTACGAGATCACTAAGGTAGTAGGTAATGGAGCTTACAAACTCAGAAATGCAGAAGGAAAAGAAGTACAGCGAAGCTTGAATGCAACACACTTAAAGCTATATCATTTTTGAAGAAGCGAAGGTGTGTAGTTATCATTTCAATTTTCCTTTTTTACCAAAAAAAAAAGAAGAAAAACACAAAAATCTCTAACAGCCAAAATCAGCACGAAAGGTACTCCTCTTTACTCACACTTTGTCAATTCAATTTATGATCATTACGAGTACTGACTTTGGCATCGGAGGGCCGTTGGGGAAACCCACGGCCACCCCTCACCTTATTCTGTTTTGCAAGGAACATTACCTACACTACTAGGCAAAAGCACAACAGACCATCACAGAGCAAAGGTTAACCATCCCTACAAGGAACAAACCAACTATCCTCGCAGAGCAAGCAAACACATGTAAGCAACACTACATTCATATTACAACTGTAATACAACTGTAATACAACTGCAATACGACTGCAACACGATTATAAGACAGCAATGATACAATAAGAAACATAAATACAGATCAACTAGCAAAAAGGAGACAGAAATACTTAGTTGCAGAGAAACAAAACAAACAAATTATCCAGCTACAGAAATGTAGCACAAAGACAAAACAAATTATCCAACTGCACTAAGGTAGTAAAAACAAACATCCTTCAAATCTAACAAATTTTTAAAGGTGACACAGCACCATTGAAACTAATTCTCATCCATGTTGTCAGAAGGGACCACTTCCTCAGCAACAGGCTTCGTACTTTCTGGGACATCCCTAACATCGGTGTTGTGAGGAGAATTCACTTCCTCATCAGCATAGCTCAGCAACAATGTGCCAGGAGCAGCAGTCCCTGCAGCAAATGCAACCTCAAAAGCAGCCTTGTCAGCCTCATAATCCCAGGCCTCATGTTTTCCTTGCTGAAATTCCTCCATCATTTCAAGACGAGCTTTCCCAAAGTAATACGCTGCAGCATCAACAGCCTCGTTCCCAGCCTCCTCCAAGGTCCTCTTCAGCCCATCACGTTCAGCAATGCAGTCCCTGTGCCTAGCACGTTCAGCCTTCAAAGCCTCAGTAGCAGCCTTGTACTTATCAGAAAGAGCATCACGCTCCTTCTTCATAGCCTCATACGCTCGAGTAAACTCAGACACTTTGCCCAGTACGCCCAAGCAAGACTGCAGGCTCTGCAGAACACGGAATCAAGTAAGGAATGCGCAATCCGGTTTTAACCATGTTTATTAAATTTCTATTTTTTTTTTAGTATACCATACCTGGAAAGACTGCACAGCAGCCTCTTGAGAAAGATCAGCAAAGGTCTGCGAAGATTGGCGATCCTTGAAGGACGGAAACAGTAAGGTGTCCACATGCGGAGCCAAGGAATCAAAAGAGAAATCAGCAGCATCAACAGCAATAGGCACCCCCAGCTTCCTCTTAAGGCCAGTACGAGGTGGAGGCGGAAGAGCACCGCTCTTTGTAGCCACCGTATTAAGAGGAACAACCTCAGTAGTTGGAGGATAAGAGCGATGTTTACGGCGGCCCAGAAGGGAAGATGAGCTAAGAAGGTCATGAGACCTTAGTGACCTCGAAGTATCTACAAGGAACATGGCAGAATTCAAAAGGGAATGTAACAGGGAACACAACAAACATACTCAACAAAATACATAACCACCTCAGAAAGGACAAACAAATTAAAAGCTAAATAAATCTTTAACAAAGGCAAAACAAATTTGCAACAGGACACATCCACAGGGAACAACACAACAAAAACCACAAACAGAAAAGGAAAAAAGAAGAACATACCTTGAGACATAGTTGGGGCAACTTTCTGCTCAGAATTAGAATCGTCCAAAGACCTGATCTGGATAACCGCCTCTGATTGCGTCAACTTGATGAAAGATCTCTCGTCCACACTTAATTCGTACAACTTGTCTACCAGGGACGGAGATTGAGAACGCTGCTTCAATTTACTCACTGCAACCATCAAGCAAATAAGCCCAAATCAACAAAGAAGGAGAGCAGAACATAGAAGAATAAGAAAACAAAATACCTTCAGCCTTAACAGTGTCAATAAAAAAATCACAATCATCACCCAACGAGTCAATCCTCACAAAGAAGAACTTGTGATACCACTTCTTATCAAACGCCTTCTCCAAGTCAGTCACCGAAGGACCAACACCATCCTTCAAACGAAGACCAACCCGACCCTTACCACTGGTCCTAATAGTGTAAGGATAACACAAGTCCCTTACATCAAGCTCTATACCCAATTTTGCACTTAGCAAATCCAAAATTCGCAAAACCCTCCAAGTTTGGGGCAATAACTGACAAGGTGAAACCCTAACCCTAGATAGAAATTGACGAACAAGAGAAGAAAAAGGGAAAGTATGCCCAATTACAAAGGGATACTCGAAGAAACACACCCAACCAGGGGCAGTCCAATCAGCCCTCTCCCTAGAAGATGGGATTTTCACCACAACCCCATCAGGGAATCGCGCAATAGCAGCGATGTTCTGAACTTCCTCTTTCGTGATGGTAGAAGGATAGACATCCTTAGCAGGGAAGACGTTCTACGCCACCAAGTTAGGCTTTTTCACACCCTCATCCACCCCAGAAAACACCACTTTCACATGACCACCCATCGCAAAACAAAAAGAAAAACAACGAAGTAAAGAAACAGAGGAAACAGAGAAAGGAGAGAAAATACCTGGTGAAAACCGAAATTGGGGCAAAGCAATGAAGTGATTAGACAAGAGCCTGCACACCCAATAAATACCAAAAAAGAAATAAACCGCCATGAACGGTTATCGAGGAAGTTGCCTTAAAACCGCCATCACGTTTCCTATTTTGTTAACCGTTGAAGTAATTTCTGAAAAATTCAAAATCCTCCCAACGGATTTTTAAGTAATTTTCACTTCCAAATACTTGAAAATAAAAATTAGGGGCAATTGTTGGGCCCGTATTATCACACGACCCATTGCATTTAGGGCATCAATCCAAGACCAATAAATCAGCAAGAATATGCAAAACGGCTTGATTGAAGTAAACAAGGAAAACAGCATCATACATATCAATCAAGGAGATACTTGCCAAAGATACACCTACAGAACAAGGAAGAAGATAAATCAAGAAGATCTTCCCCATTTCAAATATATTCTGAAGATATTTGTAAACCCTAGAGATCCCTAGGTATAAATAAGCATAATTAGACATTTTTAGCATTCATTTACACATGCATACACCTAAATATAATAAAATTACTCTACTTTTGTCTACGGAACTGTGTCTCTACTGAACAAGGAGGCTTGTCTCTACTCAGTATTGTATCTCTAAACTCATCTTCTTTATATAATCGAATATTTACTGCCTACTTATTGATTACTTGTTGATTCATTATCGTTCTTAGTTATTTTATATGCTATTGGTAGAATGATTGTTATTACCCCTCAAACCTAGCAAATTCTTAAATGTCCTTATTGAGATTTGCCTAAACAAATAGTGTAATTGTGACTAAGAAGTTGAGTCAATGATTGACAGAGTTTGTAGAGTTTTTTGATGGGTTTCGACCCCTTATAATGGAGAAATGAGAAGGGGGTGTATAAAATTTAAGGGGTTATAGAACTTAGGTCATGCATCCGGAGCAC